GCCCGACTTAACAGGTAGTCTTCCTTTGAGAAACCCGAGTACTTCAACAACAAGCAGAACAGAAGCAGAAAGCAGCAGTTTTCCTCAAATTAAAGCAGTCATTTCTCCCAGGATACTGGGAATGAGTGAAATGCTTCAGCAGGAGCAGAGCAGCAGGATTACACACATCAGCGCGCTTCAGCTACTTGTGGCATTCGGATCCTAATTATGATGTAATTATGAAGGATTACAGAAAAAGTCGTTTCATTAATCAGCTCTCACATGAAAACAAACATGCCGCTCAGATCAGATGTCCTCCCTGAACTCTGCAGACGGTTACAGCAGGTCTGTAGGTTTCACAGAAAAATGCTCCGACTTGTTATTTACCTGCAAACGGAAGTCTGCTTGCAGAGGCGACACCGTCCCCTGTGGATCTGCAGGAGGACAAATGCTGGCGTCCTGTCAGCCACTCCAAGCTAACGCACTGCTGCCTGCCTCCTCCCTTCCCCTCCAACCCGGTCTTGTGACTGTAGGGACGACAGCTGACACTGCTCTTACAAAATAAGAGCCCTGGGCTCTGAGAGTAAAGGCACTTCTTCTTTGTGACTGACTCCCACTTTGTTTTATTATTCCTTTCTTTTCCTGCCTGTCACTCTGGTCCACTTCTCTGCTCTCTGTGACTCCCGTCCCTGTTTTCCAGGTCAGTGTGAAGTTTCCTGCTCCTCTGCTGTGCGGCTGAAACACACTGATGAACACAAAAACCTTCCTAATTACTTTTTTTTAAGTGACACCTTTCCCTGAAGTAGATATTAATAGGCTGGCCGCTCTGTAATCTTCACCAGTCTTCATCAACAATCAGGCCGCGTGTCTGAGGAAAGTGAAATAAGTCCTCTGTATCAGTTCAGCTGACAGACAGGGCCCAGCACTACACACAGGAGTGAGTCTTTATTAATGTCAGGGCTCGTTTAGTCATTAGCTGTTCAGTCAGCTTTTAAATGTGACATCCTCACTTCTGCAGAGCAGCCAATGTCATCAGTCCAGCTTGTCTGTTTGCCAGCAGGATTACTCAGTAATCAGGACAGATCTGTGGGAGAATTTGATCAGAGCTCAGTGCGGTTTAAAGTGATCAATCTTTGAAGTGCAGCTCAGAGTCCAGTAGTTTTTGGAAGGATACATTACAACACTGCCCTGTGAGACATCAGGAAACTGGACATTTTCCATAAGAGCTTTGCAAAACCAAATCACACAGAAATCAGAAAAAATGTCTGCTTTTGTCTTGAAGTTCTCAGGAAGATATCACAATCTAATCCAGATCCAGGGATCCTTCTGGATCCAGGGGTCAGTGTGGTACTAGACTTCATTTACTCGTGCATAATGCCCATTTATGTTCATTGGATGGTCAGAAATAACAGAAAAATACACAGATTTCTGTCAGGTAATGTAACACGGACTCATTACAGGTGCTGTGTAGTTAGCAGTCATGCTTACGTCACCTTATAAATTAATCAGGATAAACTGTTTACTAAAACCAGAGAGACAAAGTGATTCTTAATGAGTCAGATTTAGTGAAGATGTAGAAAAGTCAGAGTTTCATCTCTTGCGTTTCTGTTCCTGTTACCTGAAACAAACCTGAATATTTCACTTCAGTTTATTATATTTATACACTTAAATAAATTAATGTGCTGTGTGATGAAGTTTCTTTTTCTTAAAGATTAGAGTTGAGCAGACTGAAGGTTTATAAATATGACGTGTGTCAGCTGCTGTTTTTTCTCTGTATGTAATCATCTGTCAACACTGGGTTTTGTGGGCCTCTACATGAATTACAGATACGCGTTTCCTTCTGTTGCAGTAACGCTGAAAAATCTTGGGACATGTTTGACCTCAAATATGGCAGATATATTAATGAACAACAAAACCTGGGATGAATGATAATCAGGCTTTCCTAAAGGAAGGTGGTTGTGCCTTTTCTTTTCAAGGCTGAGCACCTCCTGAGATGAAAGCTGACCCATGTGACCACAGAGATGGAGCGAGGTAACGAGTTCATGAGACCATCAAACCAGTTTAATGTCACTCGCTCCGGTCTGCTAACCATAACCTCTGTGCACAGATCACACAGAGACAAACAAAACGCATCTGCTCAGAAACAATATTCATCCACTTTAATGACTGCTCAGCAGTTTTCCCTGTTCTGCCACACAGCCATAGCACTAAACATAAGTAGCTGCTTTTTACTGTGTAAACTGTCCCGTCTGTGTTCTGCAGGGTCACTTTTCCTGCAGCGAAGTGACTGAAATCTGCTCATTTCAGTCCACAGGAACAGAGAAGGCACTCGGGTTTCCTTCTCACTGAAAGACAGCACGCACAGCTTTACACCATGGAGAGGGCTTCCCAGCAGAAACACTGAGACTCACTGATGAGTACAACGTGTACTTTCTCTCACTTTTAGATTTACAGCCTCCATCTGAATCCCACAGGACCAATAGAGACAAAGAGAGGAATAAATCCAATTAGCAAATGAAATCTTTTTAGTGGGCCACAGAATTGATATGTGGGTTTTTAATTTTTGTATGAACTTATTTTTATGAGCAAAATATTATCAGAAAGTGAAAATTACAAAATTCAAACATGCTTCCATGCCAGGACATCCCCGGATATAATTGCACATTTGCTGTAAAACACGTGTAAGGAACTTTGTGTGCTACCTTAAAAAGCGAACACCTTCTTCAGTGGGAAAGTCTTTCTCCTCAGTTCCTCCTTATGAAGCAGAAACTTCTTATAACTGAGCAGAAACTATTGAAAAGAGCATTAATGGTGTCACACATTACTGGGCCTGTGTGTGTTTCAGACATCTGAGCCACATCCCTGATTTCTTAAAGCTCCTCAGGCCTTTATAACACAGTCAGCATTATAGAAATGAGACAGATGATCTCATCTGCAGTACCCAGAAATCACAGTTATCTTAGTTATTAACTGTAATCTTGATTATTTAGCATCATTACTTATTAACTCACCAAACACCAAGTGTTTGTTATGTGAAAGTGAAAAGACAAACCAATAAATAAACAGAAGAAATGGGTATGCACACAGGACCATCTGTTATTGAGTCAGGCGTCTAGGCTAGCGAGTGTTTCAGAAAAAGCCCACTTTGAAAGGGCGACCACTGTTCGCTATTGGCCGTCAGAGTCCAGATGGACAGATGAGTGGAGAGCCGACCAGCCAATCAAAACTTTGGTCAGGCATCACCAAAAAGGACCCGGAGAGAGATCGGAGACGAAGGCAGCTCTACCAGTTAATAATCCTTCACAGGTTAACTTACATAAACATCTTACTTCCTCTAAGCAGATCTTGTTCACCAAAATCTTTCCATCTATTCATCACCAAACCAGTCCAAACACGTCTTCATGATTTGTTCCTTTCAAGAAATTCATAAATGTTGGTCTTTTTTTCTTTTTTCTGATCAAAGGACACTCAAAGTGTATCAGTATCATTTTACTTGAAGACAGAGAACTGCAGCTGTTTTCTACTGATATAGCTAACAAGGTTTCCTCTTTTCTGCACTGAAACACACGACAAACTGAGAGCTTTGTAGGGAAAAGGAACAGACAAAAGAGAAACTGTTTTATCTCCAGTTTTATCTCCATTATCATGCTTTCATAATCACTGAAAGTCAAGATTATAATTAAGATTAACCTCTGATTAATGGTCCAACCCTAGATTCGGATGTTCTTTATCTCTGGATGTGAAAACATAAACTGTGTGGATAATATCCTGCTCGCTCACAGCAGCAACCATCAGGCTTCAGTTTTCCTCAGTTTTGCAACTTTGTAACTTGATATGAATGCTTAGTTAACTCTGTGTTATACTTTTTTTTTAAACATCGCCCAGGAAGCTAAATCTGTGAAAACATCTCGATAACGTCTCAATCATCCAGGTAAGGAAGTCCGCAAAACACGAGAGGAATGAGAAGCACCAGCTGAGTATAGTGTGAGAGGACAAAGTGACAGCCCTGTTTGTAGTTTTCTCCCTGACTGATTGATTTTGTGCATAAATACAGATGAAACTACAACACAGAGATTATCTTTGACTCAGTTACTTTGACACAAAGGCATGTGGTGTGATGCTTACACCTCTGATGAAGTCTCACAAGTGTCAGTACTGACAAATGATCAGAATTATAGTATTTCTGACTGTCTGAGTCCAAATTGAATGGAATCAAATCGGGACTTTGTGAATCGGAATCGAATGGATTATAGAAATCAGTGATGATACCCAGCCCTAGTGAGAAGCCCAGGTCCGACATAAGTGGATGTAGCTGTGGGTAATGAGAAAAGATGAAAAGAACTACTGATAAAATTTTTGTTAAGTTAAGGCCTGATCCGTCTAAAATTCATAGCCAGTGCTCTGACACGGACCCATCAACCTCTGAAGGCTGAAAAAGCACAGTGTATCCAGAAAACACATTATAGCAGGCGATAAATGCACTGCCTATGTGTCCCCTATTCCCACTGCCTTTCAGCAGCAGGCAGCAGCAAACAGGTCGTCAGAGGAGGCCGATGTGATGATTAAGTTTAACATTGTCTACAATATTGCCAAAGAGTGCGAAAGCACTTTAAGCACAAGCACTTTTTGAGTAACTTCTCTTTCTTGTAGAAATGTGCTCCAAATAAAGACAAGATCAATATTGTCTGTATGGACAGCAATTGAAAAAATAAAATAAAAAATAAAAAGTGAACATGTAAAGCAGTGGGGTTCAGCAATGAGGTTGAAAAATTTGGGTGCACCTAACTTTTGTGCTGGCGCTCCTAAAAAAAAAAAGTAAGTCTAGAGCCCTGACATAGACAGACAAATTTGGTGCAGTTTGGGAGGGTCACATGTCGCGTGTCTTGAGGCTGCTTTCAACAATCAACAATAGAAAATATTAAATAAACAAATTAACGCTGCCATGACAACAGAAGCATCATCATAAAACTGCCCCCGGCACCATAAACCAAACTGAGCTCATCAAACGCTGCAGGACTTACCCGACAAAGGTGACAGGACCATGTTCCCCGACCTCTGGACTTCATCGAACTTACTGAAGATGACGTTCAGCCTGCACATAGAGACGGAGCAGACAGTCAGAACCAGCTGGTGTTATGATGTCAGGAAAGCACCAAGTTAAAAAAAAAAGGCCCTGCTGGCTTCAAGCGTGCAGAGTGTCCTCTGAAAAACAGAAAACTGGCTCATTTCAGGCTCCCGAGAGAGCATTTAAATAGGCCAAAGTAACAGCACAGAGTCTACAGCCTCCAAAAATACACAGACGACGGCAGATATTATTAGAACAAACACCAAGAACCACAATGTCACTGTCACATCTGCTAACCTGATGGACAGTTTGAGGAGGAAGCACCCATCATTCAATGGACGAGCTTTATTGATAACAGTCAGTTACTGTTTGTGTGATTAAAATGAAAACTATTTCCTGATTATTCAATTAATAACCTAATTATCTGCCATTTAATCAGACACTGATCATCAGATTAAAGCTGAAGTTAATTAATAAGACCATCACTGCCAATCTAAGCAGTGAAAAACCCAAACATCTAACCACAGGAGCCTGAGATGAAGCATTCCCTCCTCTGAGTTTTCACTAATTCACTTTGCTTGTTGAGGTTAATTAACAGCTGTAACTTCCAACAGACAGCCACTCTTCCTCTATAGCTCTATCTCATTACTGACATAAAACACATGTAAGTGAAACTCTGGCGTAACAGGACACTCTGCTGATCAATGAGGCTTCATAGATTGTCTAATATTTTCTAGATTAAATAACCAATCAATCAATAAAAAACTAATCAGAAACAGTGTTTTTAAAGGGCTGTGAATGCCTTTCCTTCTAATGTGAAGAACAGTTATTCAAAAGGCTGTTACTTTTCTACGTGTAACTGAGTAATGTGAGTGTGCACCAGCAGCAGTACCACAGAGCCCTTCACATAATGAGATTTACAGGGAGCGTTGAACGCACCGAGACTGAGGCAGGCCCTTCTTTCCCAGGTCGATCCGCACTCGCTCTCCGACGTGCCGGTAGATCTCCACCAGGCAGTTCATGGCGCCATCACGCACCTGTGGGCCGACAGGTAAACACATTACTTGAACACAAAGAGATTGCTTGTTTTAAATCATCCTAAATATGTGGTCGACACTTTAAAAACAATTAAAATCATCTCCCATGATGCTCTTTGGCTGCTGTCCCAGCAGAAAAACCCATGACTGTGATGGCATGTTTAACTCTCCAGGTGTCTTTCTTTCTTTACTTTGTGTCCTGGTGCAAATCCATCTGTGTGTGTATCAGCATTTACAGTGACGCGTCCACATTGATGTTCTCACTCTTATTTTGAAAGACGCTCTACGTTACACCGGTTTAAATCGTTCTCTTTGTTTTCGTCTAGATGCAGATTAAAAGCAAAAATAAATACACACCGACTTTAAACTAAACATCTGAACTGTGTTCAAAGCTGTGACTTTTTTCTCTCTGCAACTGATTAGTGATGAAATCAAACAAAGACTATAGACTTTAAAATCTGATAAGGGTAGTTGAAGGCCTCACTGAGCATGCGTAAGTGTGTTTGGCTTTGGAAAGGGAAGTTCATGGGCACGGCTTCCTGTCCTGAGGAGGAAGTGCGATTCCGGCGATGACGAACCAATCAGTAAACAGCAAACAGAGAGGAGAGCACACAGATGATAGCTGAGGATCCTGATGCAGAGCTGGAGGATCACAGACTTCATCCCTGTACAGCGGTGTGGGTCTGACAGCAGCTAAAGCAGGTCTGGCATTGTGTAATGTTTGAACTTCACCAGCAGAGGGCAGTCAAACACCAAGATTACTGCAGATTAAAGAAACTGTTCTCCAGCTGGATGTGGAGGAAGTTGGCTGACCTGCACAGTACAGCTGTTTAAAGCCATCACACGACTGCCGCTCAGCTGCTGTCCTGAGTGTTAAGTCCTTTCACTTGTTTCTGAAGCACTCCAGTATGTAAGTCACAGATACTGACTGCATATGAACCACTACAGCCCCTCAGGCCTGCTAATCTCTGCTAGATGAGCCAGAGTTTAGCAGTAAAATGATGATTGGTGAGGGGGTTTTAAGTTTTCACACAACGGCTGGAAGCAGCAGAAATCTTTCAACCTAAAACATCCTCAGCCTTACTTTATTAAGTAGCAGCTTGTCTTTTTAAGACAGCATTATTCTTTTCACTGATTCACTGCTGAATTATTGCACATTTTAATATATTTTCTGTCTTTTTAAAGTCATTTATCTAGCGTTACCTGGTTTGATGTGAGAACATGTCTGAAGCGGACAGTTTCCAGCTTCCTGTGGAAAACAATCCGACTCGATCCTCAAGAAGCTGTTCACAGAGCACGTGTGAAAGCGGCTTAAACCACAGTGTAACCTGGTGTGTGTGTGTGAGCGTGTGAGTGAGCAGGCATTGTACCTGGCTGGTGGGGTCTCCGAGGAGGCTGCAGATGTGAGGAACGATTTTACTGAGCGTCAGACTCTGAGAGCCAAACCTGAAAGATCAAAACACAAAACTGAGTAAAGTCAAGTAAAACTGGAGGTGAGCTCAAAGACACATGACATCATCAGTGCGCTTCCTTTATTATGAATAAAACTTCCAGTTTGTGCTCTTTTATTTTGAAAATCACCCTGACACTCATTTCTGCGTCTTTTTAAAAGCAAAAACAACAAAAGCGTCCCCAGCTTCTCGCACGTGAAGGTTTGCAGCTTTTCTTTTATCCCATGAACCAGTTTTAGGTTTGAACTTTTAAAATAAAAATCAGATGTGACAGTTTTATATCTGAAGCTGTGATAAACCTCTCTGAATATTTCCTGAAACTTTAGAGATAAATAAACAAACAAAGAGTTAACAGAGTCCCAAATATAAGCGCCAAACCTGCTGTTACATTATAAATCAGTTACTGCTCTCAATAATATTAATAACTTACACGTTTAAAGTTGAGATGAGACACAGGCAGAGTCCCTCTCTGGTCCTGTTGTTCTTGTGCTTGAATCCTCCCATCATTCGCTCCCACACATACTGAACACAGGGAGAAGACAGAGAGACATTAACATGTCACCTGTAACGTTATGGTGACGCTCTGTTGGAGGATGACACAGTGGTGGATAAATCCAAACATGCGTGTGGAAATGTGAGTGTTAGACTATTGTAATTTACTTTTCTGTGAGTTTAAATTTGAATTTAAATGCCTGATGGCAAAATTTCTCCTGTGCCGTCTTTTTCC